TGCAATTCTTTATACTATGACAACCAGTGCACATTACAGGAGACCTTTTTTTCCTTTTGTTTCAAATTGGGTTTTCCACAATACTTTCTAAAATAACAGCTTCATTAACACACATTCACATACCATAATTTTCATCCCTTTAATATATACTATTCAATGGTGTTTACGCATTCACAGAATTCTGCAACTATCACCACATTCTAGTTCCAGATGTTTTTATCACCTGAAAAGAAATCCTGTACCCATTGTCAGTCACTCCTCACTTCCCCCCAACCCCCACCATCCCAGCCCTAGCCAACAACTAATCCGCTTTCTGTCTCCCTGGATTTGAATATTCTGAACATCTCATTCAAAAGAAATCCTACAATAGGTGTCCTCCTGTGTCTGGTTTCTTTGACATAACATAACATTTTCAAGGTTCATCCATGTTGTAGCATGCACCACTACTTCATTCCTTTTCGGGGCCGTGTAATATGCCATCGCGTGACTATTGTGTATTTTGTTCCTCCATTGATCCATCAGTGGATATCTGGGTTGTTTCCACCTTTTGAATACCGTTAATAATGCTGGTATTTGCATTGTACATTGTGTACAAGATTTCATGTGGATGTGTTTTTGATTTTGGGGGGGGATATACTTAGTAGAGGAATTGCTGGGTCATATNGCACGTAGCTGCTCGTTCTTGTAGTTCACTTCACCTCCACCTTGACCCCACCCTCGTCCATGGTTAGGTCATGGTTTAGGAGGGGATGTCACTGGAGTGAAGGGACTGGGCAGTTTTCTAGTTATGGTGTTGCAATATTTAAGGAAAGCCTCTGTCTCCAAGTGAGATCAGACCACAGCCTTACATGTCTCCACCATGGAGTTTGCCACAGGCTAAATGAACTCCCACAATTTTGCCACCAAGGGTCCTCTGGTGGCAAAATTTACATCACTTCTTTCCATTTTCATAGTTTATAAGGAATTATTTTGTCGAAGAAATCACCTGGAATGGCTCTCTTTGGATTGTTTGTGTGCTTATTTCTTCATGAAATTGAGAAAGAATCAGGCTAAAGTCCCATGCACTCATGAAGCAATTGGGAAAGTGTAAT